AATTTAATAATCAATTCGGCCCTCGGACTGAAAAGTTTGGAGACCCCTGATTTATTGCAATATTTCCTTCTTCCCTTCTTAGTGTGTGACCAATCCATCCCCATTTACGGGCCTTGATATCCTTCTCTAGTGGCTGCTGTTTTGTATTTCGCCACAGGTCTTTGTTTGGTATTTTGTCTGGCCAACTTTTTTTAGTATGTGTCGTAAGCTTTATTTTTATATATGTGTGTTTATTTTGTGTGCTTGTCGTCCAGCAGGCTTTGCTACACGTAATTTGCCAAGTCTGTCTGTCTGTCTGTCTGTCTGTCCGTCTGTCTGTCTGTCTGTCTGTCTGTCCGTCTGTCTGTCTGTCTGTCTGTCTGTCTGTCCGTCCGTCTGTCTGTCTGTCCGTCTGTCTGTCTGTCTGTCTGTCTGTCCGTCAGTCTGTCTGTCTGTCTGTCTGTCTGTCTGTCTGTCTGTCTGTCTGTCTGTCTGTCTGTCTGTCTGTCTGTCTGTCTGTCTGTCTGTCCGTCCGTCCATCCGTCCGTCCGTCCGTCCGTCCGTCCGTCGGTCCGTCTGTCCGTCTGTCTGTCTGTCTGTCTGTCTGTCTGTCTGTCTGTCTGTCTGTCTGTCTGTCTGTCTGTCTGTCTGTCTGTCTGTCTGTCTGTCTGTCTGTCTGTCTGTCTGTCTGTCTGTCTGTCTGTCTGTCTGTCTGTCTGTCTGTCTGTCTGTCCGTCCGTCCGTCCGTCCGTCTGTCCGTCTGTCCGTCTGTCTGTCTATCCGTCTGTCGTCTGTCCGTCAGTCCATCTGTCCGTCGGTCCGTTTTTCCGTCCGTCCGTCCGTCTGTAACCCAACACAATTTAACTACAGCTGCATAAAGTGTAATGATATTCAGAGTACTGACTTTTTTTTTACTCAGATGTGGAAAATGAAAACCATTTGTGTTGAGAGTGTCGCGTTCACAAGATAACGAAGAGTTTAGACTACCATGCTGAAATTTTAATGCATTGTTTTCTTTATGTATAAAAACTATTTAAAATAAAATGTATAATATTGAACAAAAGCAAAAGGAGAGCGATGGCGAAAATGTTAATCCAAATGTAAGGTTGCAGAAATTTTCTATGGGGCATGTGGAATAGAACTGTATTTATTTCTAAAATAGATTGAGGCGAACAAAAAAAAAACCACAGCAAATACATACAACATACATCACCCGAACACCATACACCCACATACAACATACATCACCCGAACACCATACACCCACATACAACATACATCACCCGAACACCATACACCCACATACAACATACATCTCCCGAACACCATACACCCACAAAAACATACACCACCCGAACACCATACACCCACATACAGCACACCACACACTTGTCATCCTTACACCAACCACAACATATTTTTACCTGCCCACACACACTCACCACACACCACATACAACATATTTTTTACCTGCCCACTCACCACCCACACACCGCCACACTAACCCCCCCCCCCACACACACACCACATACAACATATTTTTACCTGCCCACTCACCACCCACACACCACCACACTAACCCCCCACACACTCACCTCACACAACATACAACATATTTTTACCTGCCCACTCACCACCCACACCACCCACACACCACCACACTAACCCCCCACACACTCACCTCACACAACATACAACATATTTTTACCTGCCCACTCACCACCCACACCACCCACACACCACCACTCTAACCCCCACACACACTCACCACATACAACATATTTTTACCATCCCACTTACCACAAACACAATCCTACTCACTAGCCACACACCACCACACTCACCACCCACATACCACCCCACTCACCACCCATACACTACCACACCACACTCACCCCCCCCCACACTCATCACACACCACCCACAACACATTTTTACCACCCCACTCACCACCTAAACACCACCCCACACACCTCCCCGCTCACCACCCACACACCACACCAAACACCACCACACTAACCCCCACACACTCGCCACACACTCATCACACAATACCCACTCAACACCACATCACATGCACCCGCACCACCCACACACACCAAACCCCCATCCCCCCACCCCCACCCCCCACACACACACACGGTCACGATGACCTCTGTCCTACGTTCTGTCCGCCAGCACAATTTTGGGAAGGGTGAGCCAGCAGACGTACAGAGTCGATCAATACAGGATCCGTGTGCTGGACGGCCTGTGTCAGACACAACACACTTCCGGTGCTCTACACACGTCTGTGAGCCAGCCCTCGTTGTTTGTTGTTTTGTTGTGTTTTATTCTACGGACGTCTGTATAGGTAGTGACTCATATAGAATTTAAGAAAATTTAACACAAAATATTCAATATACATAAATGTAACTATTCCGGTTGAAATAATGTTAACTAACGTAATTAATTTTTTATTTTCATAATTTGAATTGGGAAATTATTAATTACAAATTTAGTTTTCCTGATGGATCCCTGGGTTATATTAAGGAAACAAAGACGGCTGAGCTTAGTGCTGACCACATATACCTACCCCATGGTAGTTGAGGTCATTGAAACACGTGAACTCTGTTGCATCTACCCCATGTGACTTTGGCACGCACAGAAAAGATGATGTGATGATTAAGGTTTACTAGATCTATATAACATAAAACAAGACTGATAGCTTTCTGCAGTGTTGAAGGCTACAGTGTCTGGTTTGTTTGGCTTCCGTTAGTTTGTATTTTCCTAATGTATTTGTGTATGATGAATTTATTTTATCAGCCTTCCTTGTGTGGGCATGTGTCTTTATAAAACTGTGTTTCTTTGTTTTGTTGGTGTTGTGTATGGATGTATTTATTTAGTTATTGGCAAGATATGTATTTCCGTCTGTATGTATGGGCCCTGTGTCAGTTTTTAGCATTATGTACTTTAGTTCATTTATACATACATACACACACACACCTACAAACACACACACACACATATATATATATATATATATATATATATATATATATATATATATATATATATATATATATATATATATTGAATGAAACATGAAATGAAGCTATAAAATTTTGATTGAGTTCATTTTCGTTAATTTAATTTAAAAATTACCAAATGTATTTCTTTGTTTTAAAAAGAAAGCTGCTATAATATTAATGGAGCTTTGTATTGTAGGTAAAGATTGTAGGTAAACATTGAATGAAGGTACTAAATTTCGATTGAGTCAATTTTCGTTAATTTAATTTTAGAAATTACTAAAATGTATTGTTTTAATATTAATTGAGCTTTGTAAAGTAGGTAAAGGTACACACGTACACAATTTTCAAAACTTCATTTGGTTCTCTTGCGTCGAATATACACATCTTTTTAGAATTCGATGATTTATTACTTGAATCACATTTACATATTAGCGTCAGTAATGGTTTACTTTCTGTTTTATGACTGGAAGGTGTATTGTAAAGTTTACGGATTTCACCTTGTTGTATACATTTTTTGTGTGCACATCAGGAAGTTGTTATGTTGAAATCCCTCGTCGCCTCCCCCCCCCCCCCCCCCCACCCTCCTATTAACAGTGGAGACTCGACATGGGATTGTGTTATGTATTGTATTTATAGCCCGTTTCAGAGCATGCTTGTCTAACGGCACGTTTACACCTGCGACATGTTTTGTATACACGTCTTGAAACAAAAAACTTCAAAACTTCGCAAAAGCTTATATTATCAGAACTTGTTTATTGGGAAGATTTTTTTCTAGACATGTATAGTATACATGTCGCAACTGTAAACGTGGTGTAATGCATACTGTGCTATTGTTGCAGTTTTTTTTTTAAATATTGAAACAATCCTTTTTTACCTGATCGTAACTTGAGGAGTTATTCCTGCATGGACATTGTTTTATTTTGTTTAACTTCTCGGCGTGTCTGTGTGTGTGTTTGTGCTTGTATGCGTTTGTGTGTATGTGTGTATGTGCATGTTTGTGCATGTATGTGCGCCTGTGTGTGTCTGTATGTGTGTCTGTCTGTCTGTTAACACGATAAAGTGGGTACCCTTTCATTAGGGTGGACTCGACTTCATTTGAAGGAGTAAGATCATATATGTAGGTCTCTATCCATTTTTGGGACGAAATTTCATACATAAGTAAAAGATTTTTATAAAAGGTTTCTTTCCATTTTTTTAGCGATTTCCGATATCTGGTACATGGTCATTACACCATTTCCGTTTTCTTAAAAACCGATAACGTGCGTATCGTTTCAGTCAGGTGGACTAAATGTCATCTATATTAATAAATAAACCGGGAGTCATCTCCCCTAAACTTTCTCGAATATTCTTATATAACACTACGAGGGATGGCAACATGGGGTATAGACATGATTTTTAAATCCATTTTTAATTACTTAAACTTTTTACATAGAATAGAATCTCGTAGAAAAAAAAAGAATTGCGCACCAAGTGAACACCAAACAAAATGTGTATATTTGTGTATGTATGTGTCTGTGAACACGACAACTTGAGTACCGTTACAGCTAGGTTGATGAAATTTCATATATAAGTATTATATCAAATTTGTAGTTAAGTAACAAATTTTCAGCGATTTCCGATAAACGAAAGTGGAACTTTTTCTACTCTAAATTTTTCAAAAGCCTATAACTTGAGTACTGTTTTAGATAGATAAATGACATTTCACATATAAGTAAAATATATACTTCTCTGCCTTCTTTCAAATTTTGAGTAATTTCCGTTGACCGGATGTAGTAATTTACACTATTTCCGATTTCTCAACAAAGGCATGTGAATTTAAAGTACTAATAATATTCCGCAGTATTATGCACATTTGTTTGGCATTCACTTGGTGCGCAATTCTTTTTTCTACGAGATTCTACGAGATCACTCCCTGTTTATTGTTCAGTACTTTAAGTTTGTTAAAATTAACAATAGAGTTGCATGACTAAAAACCATTACGCACCTAATGAACATGACAAAGCGCGTAAAATAGTGCGGAAAAGTTGGGTAAGACTAATTTGGACACAAGTTTATTTAATTCCTAAAAATTAATTAGGAAACCGGAAATAATGTTTTACTTTACTCCTGTGTGAACAAGATCAATTGAACACCATTTTAATAAAATGGACGAAAATGCAAAGATCATCTGCGTAAGTGTCTTTCAAATTTTGAGCAATTTACTGTAAACAAAAGTGATTCTTGCTTTTCATCAAATGTCTCAAAGTACATTCAATTGTTCCACTCTTATGATTTAAGCTGAATTACTTTTATTAACAGCTGTTAGAACTTGTTGGTAACGTGTAATACACACTAAATATTCTTGCAAAGGATTTGTTTATTTATTACAGAAGGGTTAGCGCTGTATGCGATCAAATAAACAAGGTAGGAAAACTGAGAAGTTGTTGAATTGTTTAGTAGTTACATCCCTTGTTTAAGGAAAACAGCTCACATAATATTTTTACTTTTTCGTATACAGAGTATACAGAGTATAGAGAAAGCATTGTAATCGTGCTCAAAAATCGCATGAAATTTTCAGTTTTCATCGCTTTACTCCTCAGTCCTTCATCACATCCGGAGTATAGAGGACTTATTTTAATCGGGCAAGAATTATAAATCCTAATATATAAAAAATTTGGCGTTTTATGCGTAATCGAGTCGGAAAAACTGGATTTTGCAATTCTGTCCGTATGTCTGTGTGTGTATGTGTGTCTGTAAACACGATAACTTGAGTACCGTAACAGCTAGGTTGATGAAATGTCGTATATAAGTATTATATCAATTTAGTTGCCCTGTATTAACTTTTCTACGATTTCCAATAATGGCAAGTAAAAATTATTCTACTTTCAATTTTTCAAAAGCCTTTAACTTGAGTATTTTTTCAGATAGATAAACGAAATTTCTCATATAAGTAAAATGTAAAATTTTTGTCTTCGTTCAAATTTTGAGTAATTTTCGTTTACCGGAAGTAGTATTTTACGCTATTTCCGATTTCTCAAAAAAAAAAAAACATATGAATTTATAAAGTACTAATAATATTCCGCACTATTATACACATACTGTTTTTCGTTCACTTTTTCTACGAGATTTTATTCTATTTTAAAAAGTTTATGTAATTAAAAATAGATAAAAAATCATTTCTTTATCGTGATGTGCCATCTCCCGTTGTGTTATATTCGAAAAAGTTTAGGGGAGATCACTCTCGGTTTATTTTTTAATTCTTGTCTGTTATAAAAAGAAGAATGCTTTTTATTTACAAGCTTTTACTAAACTCACCGATTCTGTCTGTCGTCAGTCTAGATCGAAACGCCCGAGCGAAATTTCGGGCACTTTTGACTGATAGATTCGGTTCATAGTTGGTACGTGAGTCAAGACATAAACACAATGCAACATGACATTAAATTTGACGTAATTTGTTGCCTAACTATTTTTTTATGAATTAATTACAAATTGTACCAAATTAGTTGGCAGGCTTACCCAACTATTCCGCGCTATTATACGTTCATTATCACGTTCATTCGGTGCGCAATGGTTTTTAGTCATGCAACTCTATTGTACATTTTAAACAACTGAAGTACTGGAAAAAAAATCCTAAAAAATGTTTAAATAACAAGCTTTTATGTAATAATGCACTAAAAAGTAGAAAATAATTATTATCCACTACTATTTAAATAACTATAACAGCTGTGATGATGGGAAGACAAAAGAATTTTTTTTAAAAAAGAAATATTTTAATCCGAAAAGCCACTTTATTTTTTTAATTACTTTCCGCTCTCAGCTTTTTGGCCTGCTGTGTTTAGTATTTCTTTGGTTGTTTCCCTTGACTCTCTCTCTCGATGCCCACAAACAGACACACACATCGAGCTACTTATGTGTTGGGACACTTCGTGTTTGTAGTCAAGCTGGTGTAGAAAATGATGCATTTTTTTAACGATTGTTTTATTTTTTTCAGATCTTTAAACGTGAAGATAAAAAATCTTGGATAAAAAACTCCCTGACCATAAGGATCTCTACAACAGATGTCACGATTGGTCAGTCCATCGAGGAGTTCCGTCTTATATAATCTGTCACACTCTGTTAGTTCAAAAAACAAAACAAGTTTTCTCTCTAGTCAAATGTATGTAAATTAATAAAATACTCTAAAAGGGTTTACGATAATAAATTTTTAACATATATTTAAATTGAAAAATGTTTCAATGTGCGATTAAAAATGTTTCTGCTGTCAGGCATATGATATGGATATCGAAGTTGAAAATGTATGTATGGCTGATGTTTGTGATGGCGACGCTCTATTCTGTAATCTTCGTCATCCCAGTTCGAAACTTTGTGTTTGGCAAAGTGTTTTTTTCTGCCTGGAAAAAATTGCCTACTGTTGACTTAGTAAGGATACATCTTGCTGGAGAAAATATACCAGAGGGAATGTTCACAAACATGACATGTTTGAATATAAACAAGCCGAAAATAACGAAACAAGATATCAACACCTCAGCTATACTGACCTATTCTTACCTCAGGAACAACGAATCTCAAATCAGGTCATTAAAGAAAGGTCATGGCCGTTACTTACCTGCGCTAAACCTGAGCCAAAAAGTGGACAACTTGTACCTGTATAAGGTGGCAGCAAAGGCTCTGGACCAGGTCGGTGTCGGACATTTTCTCATCGACGGGTCACTGCTGGGTGTCAAGAGACACGGGGGGTTCATCCCCTGGGACGATGACCTTGACATTGGTGTGGCCAGCGTCCACTGGGAGCTAGTCAAACAAACGTTGTCGTGTATCGAAGGTTTCCGGATCTGGCAGAAGCGTAGCTTCCACTGGAAGTTTCTCTACACCAACCTGTCTTACCCCTTTATGGATATCTTCTTCTACAGTATGGACGAGACTTACATATGGGCAGACAACCCCGTGTCTCGAAACACTTTCATCCACCCGAAAAACTTATTTTTCCCTCTAACCGAGGACGTGTTTGAGGGTGTCAGGGTGCCTGTACCACGTGACAGCCTGGCCGTGGCCAGAAGGTCTTATGAGTACGAGATTTGCGCTGCGTACGATGGTCATATCTATAGGGACAAGATCTCTGCTGGTCAGTTTCCTGACGGCTACGCTGTGGAAGAGATTCCTTGCAGGGATGTGAGTTATATGTATACGATGTTTGATGTGTAACCATTTGAAGGCGATTTCTTTCCCTTTTTGGGGTTCACATTTAAGTTTGTTCAATTATAACCAATTAGGTCCACTAGTGAGGTGTTGAGTTTATTTTGGTTGTCATGGCAACCAGAAAAAATACTGCCAATTAAATTTTTACTCATTTTTAGCTAAATTATACAGCAGCGAAATTTTATTTTTCTTATAGCGTTTTAATAAAAGCATTTAGTCTTGATAGAAGTTACTTTCTTCAACTGTCAACCACATACTTTTCACAAGTCTAGAACATCATATTTTGCTGATTTTGGTTATGTTTTCATTTTGTTGTTCTTCCAAGTCTACAATTTTACTTCTATTATAACATGTTTCATGCTAAAGTTTTGTAAACATGTTGAAATTCTTTTAAATATTTTGCACTTGATTGCTTTTCACTGAGTTGCTTGTGTTAGGTGCTACAGAGACGAAAGTTTTACAATATTTTTACATTCACGGTCAAATTATATTATGCAGTTTGTTCCAGACATCTCTTCCAGAGTTTCTTCCAGGCATCTTCTTCTCTTTAACCGCCCCCCCCCCCCCCGAACGAAATGAAATTTATATAATTTGTATAGAAAATATATACTTTTAACAGTGTCTGCCCCCCCCCCCCACCGAAGAAAGTCTACCCCCCCCCCCCCACCCGAAAATTACAAGTGCCCCCCGGAGAAAAAAGTCTGGAAGAAACACTGTTATTATGTAATATCAAACCACTGGTCAGATTAAATAATAAATATAATAAATTATCAACAGTTGGTCAGATTAAATTAAGAATGATCAAATAGTTGGTCAGATTAAATTACTATATATCAAATTATTGGTTAGATTAAATAATAAATATAATAAATTATCAAACAGTTGGTCAGATTAACTTAAAAATTATCAAATCATTGGTCAGATTAAATAATAAATACAATGAATTATCAAATAGTTGGTCAGATTAAATTAAAAATTATCAAATCATTGGTCAGATTAAATAATAAATAAAATAAATTATCAAATAGTTGGTCAGATTAAATTAAGAATTATCAAATCATTGGTCAGATTAAATAATAAATTATCAAGAAGTTGCTCAGATTAAATTTAAAAAAATATCAACACACAATCATAATATAAGTATCAATTTGTCAAGCAAAACGACAGTGGGAACTGAGAACAGGTTGGACCGAAGGTAAAATGACGTTTTATTCCCACCATATTGTTGCTACACAAGTTCAAGTGCCATGTTGAAACAATCAAATGGGAGAGTGTTTTACTGCAAGTACTGAGTTCGAGATCCAGCTACACATACGGTATATGTCACTAGAGGTCATCCATAAATGACGTCACGCTTTTTTTGACGATTTTTACCTCCCCCCTCCCCTCCGTCACACGTCGTCACAAAAAGCCAGACCCCCCCCCCCCCCCTAAAATGACGTCACACCTCACCCTACAACCCCTCTCAAAATAGCAGTTTAATTTTTGTAAACATCGAAATTTTGCCAAAATCTTATCAGAACTATGTCAAAATTGAGAATTTTAATCAATTCCTATTACAATGTATTAAAACAGTTTTCTAAAACGCAAAATAAAGTCTAAAATTCCTTTTTTCTAACATTGCTTTTTTATAATGCAAAAGTGTGACGTTGCACCATCTGAACCCCTCCCCTTTATCACACACCGTCACAAAATTACGGACCCCCCTCCCCCATACGAGTGGGACGTCATTTATGGACGACCTTCTAGTGAACGCATCTCTTAATAATATAAAGTTTTTGTTAATGCTGACAGTGTATGCCGGTTTAAACGGTCTGGATGGGACGTAATAAGTTGACACGTAGTACTTAATTAGGTACGAAAAAGATGATGATGGTGTTGACATGTGTAAAGTATTGATAATGTAAAATGTGAAGCGAATCGATGATGTAGAAATGTAGGGGAAATTAATTGTGTGGAAACGTTAATGACGTCACATCCCAGATGGCCACCGCTTAAAATACCTATTGGTGTTTGTTTGCTGGCCTTTCTGTTTGTTTGTTTGTTTGTTTGTTTGTCGCGAGCCTGATTTTAGCAGTGACTGGGTGTTTGCAATAGGGCTTGTAAGTAGGTCACAACTTCTCGTTCTCGAACGATGCAGCTAGTAGATTTCGAGACCATAGCCCTATAGTGAAAACAAGGTCAAGGTAGTTCGTGAGTAGGTCAGGTCGTAAGTGGGTCAGGTCGTGAGTGGGTCAGGTCGTGAGGGGGTCAGGTTGTGAGTGGGTCAGGTCGTGAGGGGGTCAGGTCGTGAGTGGGTCAGGTCGTGAGGGGGTAGGTCGTGAGGGGGTCAGGTCGTGTGGGGGTCAGGTCGTGATGGGTCAGGTCGTGAGTGGGTCAGGTCGTGAAGGGGTTAGGTCGAGTGGGGGTCAGGTCGTGAGGGGGTCAGGTCGTGAGTGGGTCAGGTCGTGAGTGGGTCAGGTCGTGAGGGGGTCAAATCGTGAGTGGGTCAGGTCGTGAGTGGGTCAGGTCGTGAGTGGGTCAGGTCGTGAGTGGGTCAGGTCGTGAGTGGGTCAGGTCGTGAGTGGGTCAGGTCGTGAGTGGGTCAGGTCGTGAGTGGGTCAGGTCGTGAGTGGGTCAGGTCGTGAGTGGGTCAAGTCGTGAGTGGGTCAGGTCGTGAGAGGGTCAGGTCGAGAGTGGGTCAGGTCGTGAGTGGGTCAGGTCGTGAGGGGGTCAGGTCGTGAGGGGGTCAGGTCGTGAGTGGGTCAGGTCGTGAGTGGGTCAGGTCGTGAGTGGGTCAGGACGTGAGTGGGTCAGGTCGTTAGGGGGTCAGGTCGTGAGTGGTTCAGGTCGTGAGGGGGTCAGGTCGTGAGTGGTTTAGGTCGTGAGTGGGTCAGGTCGTGAGTGGTTCAGGTCGTGAGTGGGTTAGGTCGTGAAGAGGTCAGGTCGTGAGTGGGTCAGGTCGTGAGTGGGTCAGGTCGTGAGTGGGTCAGGACGTAAGTGGGTCAGGTCGTGAGGGGGTCAGGTTGTGAGTGGGTCAGGTCGTGAGGGGGTTAGGTCGTGAGTGGGTCAGGTTATGAGTGGGTCAGGTTGTGAGTGGGTCAGGTCGTGAGTGGGTCAGGTCGTGAGTGGGTCAGGTCGTGAGTGGGTCATGTCGTGAGTGGGTCAGGTCGTGAGGGGGTCAGGTCGTGAGTGGGTCAGGTCGTGAGTGGGTCAGGTCGTGAGTGGGTCAGGTCGTGAGTGGGTCATGTCGTGAGTGGGTCAGGTCGTGAAGAGATCAGGTCGTGAGTGGGTCGGGTCGTGAGTGGGTCAGGTCGTAACCAAAGGCTGCCACAGATAGGCGGGGGATGTAAACACGCAGCGTAAATGAAAGAAAAAAAAAACCGTTTTAAAACATTAATAATGAAACCTTTCGTAAAGAACTACGAATTTACGTGTTTTCTGTCACATTTCGGGCGATTGCCGGTAACCGGAAAGGGTGTTTCGCTCTGTTTACGATAATTTCATATCATATTTTCATAAAGCATTTTCTTAGAAAATCGAAAAACGATCGCCTTTGTTACAAACTTCTATATTTCTATAGTCCTATTGCACTAGAAGTACCCTTCCAACCCTACATATTCTTATATTAGAATGTAGTCTCTTTGTTTGTCTGTGTGTGTGCAGGCGCACGATTAGTTCAATTATAATTTTGTCATTAGCAAGACCAAGCAGTGTAGGTTTAGTTGAAATCCCGCAAAGTTTTTTTTTAATATGATGACTCATGTTAATCTTTATCACGGCGGGGGGGGGGGGGGGGGGGGGGGGGGGGGCGGCTGGTACAATATGTCCATAGTCAACATGAGAACTTGGTCGTTGAAGCCATTTTTAGAAATATTTAATCGTGAATTGATCGGTGAAGCCATTTTTAGAAATATTCATCGTGAATTGGTCGTTGAAGCCATTTTTAGAAATATTTAATCGTGAATTGGTCGGTGAAGCCATTTTTAGAAATATTCATCGTGAATTGGTCGTTGAAGCCATTTTTAGAAATATGTTATCGTGAATTGGTCGTTGAAACCATTTATAGAAATAATCATCATGAATTATTACTTAAATCTGGTGAATTTTTATCAAATTCCAAATCGAAAAAAATAAACCAAACTTTTTAATTACATGTACACAAAAGAGTTTTTTTTTTTAATTTATTTTATTTTCTATGTGAAAATTGCATTGCACTACAGTTGCCCTACAATCGACTTACTGTTAGTATAATAGACACCATCTCGTGAGGGTAATTAAACGCGTAATTTGTGTGTATGTACACAACGTAAGATCAGCGATTTCCGTAATTAAACGCGTAAATGTGTATGAATGTACACACCGTAAGATCAGCGATTTCCGTAATTAAACGCGTAAATTTGTGTTTATGTACACACCGTAAGATCAGCGATTTCCGTAATTAAACGCGTAAATTTGTGTGTATGTACACACCGTAAAAGTAAAAAGTAAAGTTCCCTTTTCAAACCTAACGGTCTATAGGGCAAGTGAAGTAGAGTTCACTTGTTTCTGTGACCTCGGCATATGAAGAGATAGTGTGGTCAGCACTATACCAAGCCGCCTTTCCTTTCCCTAACGTGAGTTAGGTACCCATCTGAGTTGGGTGGACTCAGGGACGGTCTACTGGCTTGAGCCCATATTCGAACTCGAGACTTTCGGGTTAGCAGTCCAGCTTTCTACCGCTAGACCACACACCGTAATTTAAACGCGTAATTTGTGTGTATGTACACATCGTAAGACCAAAGATTTCCGTAATTAAACGCGTAATTTGTGTGTATGTACACATCGTAAGACCAACGATTTCCGTAATTAAACGCGTAATTTGTGTGTATGTACACATCGTAAGACCAACGATTTCCGTAATTAAACGCGTAATGTGTGTGTATGTACACATCGTAAGAAAAGCGATTTCCGAAGCTGGGAGGCGAGCTACTCAACAGAAATAAAATACAATCCCTACTTACTTATGCGTCTTAGTACTTTAGGAAGTACCTTAGTATTCCTGTCTCATAACAAGAACCTACCTTAGTATACCTACATAAATATACCTTTTACAATACAAGGCCCTACCTAAGTATACATGTATACCGAAAATACTTAAAACATCAATTACTTCTATCTTTATTTAAGTCCAACAAAAATCAAGCACTCAGATTTTTATAACCATATTTATTTTAATAAAATCGTGTGTAATTTTTAAAATACTTAATGAGCCTTTCGAATAATTTCGAGACTTTTCTCGGTTGTGTCCATTATGGCAGTTTTGGGCACTGAAATGGACAGGAAAAAAAAGCATGATTTAAATTCAGAATTGTTTATAGAAATCAACGGGCAACGTTTCGCAACTATTACGCACCTATTACGGGTAGAAAAAATTGTTGTAATGAAGAATTAGCTTTAGTGGCTCTATACAAAAAAATAAAAATAAAAAAATAAACATTCTGAATTTAATGGAATTCAACCAGAAATTGCATTCCTCCCTTCTTATCGTTATAGTTCACAAGTTTGGGGGAAAATAATCCATTCATATTCTACTAAGAAATTGTAATGGGTGTAAATTCTGCATGTAATAAACCATTAGGTAATTTAGTACAGGGGTCTCCAAACTACGGCCCGCGGGCCGAATGCGGCCCGCGATGTCCTCTCATCCGGCGATCTTTTTGTCCACAGAAAAAAAAATGTTTGTTGGTGATGGCTGAGGAACTGTGCACATAAAATTGAAAACAATTTGAAAATGTAGCTTTGGGTGCAAATATCATTGCCCGTCGTGTTGCAGACATTGGTGAAAACATTGCGACTCTAATAGCGAAAAATTCAAGCAAGTTTCGCCATATTTCAATTGCAATGGATGAGTCGCTGGGCAGCTGTTCTACCTCTAAACTGCTTGTGTTCATTAGAGGTGTGTATGAAGACATGAACATAACACAAGAGCTGGCTTCCCTGCATAATATATATGGCACTGTTACCGGAGAGGATATATTCAATGAGTTAAAGAAAACATTTGCTGATTATAACTTGGACTGGACTAACCTCAGTTGCATGACAGTTGATTGAGGAAAGGACATGAGTGGCATAAAGAAAGGCTTGGTTGGACAAGCGAATGAGAAAAATATTCTACAACCAATGTTCCTGCACTGTATTATTCACCAGCAAGCTTTGTGTGCTAAATATTTGGACATTAGCAGTGTACTGAATCATTTGGTGAACACGGTGAATTTCATACTGCCACATGGGCTCAACCACAGAAAGTTCAGAGACATGTCAAAAAACCAACACGGAATCGCAAGATTTACCATATTACACAGCAGTGAGATGGCTAATTTGCGAGAAAGCTCTGAGCAGAGTATTTAAGTTAAGAAAGGAAATTGGTGACTTCCTGGAAAGTAAAGGCAGGCCACAGCCATTAATGTCTGATGAAGAGTGGGTATAGAAATTGGTCTCTAATGCAGGCATAACTAGTCATTTTAATTTTCTGAACCTAAAACTCCAAGAGATATCTAGTTTCTGATCTATACACCTACCTTAAGGCCTTCAGATCCAAACTTGTCATGTATTTGGAACAAGTAAAGGCCAACAACTTGACGCACTTTCAGCAGTGCAAAATCTTCATGAGTACCCCACGTCATTTACATACGAGATCATCAAAGACCTCCAGCTGCAGCAGTTTCAGTAGCGGTTTTCTGACTTGGATTCAAAGGCAGAAGAAGTGAGAGTGTTTCAAAACCCCTTTGAAGCAAATATGGCCAGTTGCCCAGATGAACTGCAAATAGAAGTTATTGAATTGTAAGCAAATGAGATCCTTAGAGACAAGTTCAAAGAAGGAAGGGTGGGTTTTTATAAGTTTTTTCCAATGAAAGACTTTTCTAATACAAAAAAGTGTGCATCTAAGTACCTCCGCCACCACAAATAGATGCCTGAGAAACTGGCACCTGAACTGATATTTGATAGTTAATGCGGCCCTCGGGCTGAAAAGTTTGGAAACCCCTGTTAGTATTTTAGAAAATCGAGATTACTGTGAGTTCTGAGCCAAGCTCCGCCCATTAAAAAATCACGTGATTTGAAAACCCTATCAGTAACACGCACGTCACCTGTGTGAGCCCATATAACTGGATGGGGACGTGGACGGACATACGTCGGCATCTCTTCACTGGGCAATACACGCGAGATACTGAGAGAAATATGAAAACTTATGCGCGTATTTTGTTGGTGTTTCTTCTCGTCTTCATAGGTAAATATTTTATTTTAGGCAATATGTTACATCAAAATCACTCATGCATGTAAGAGGTCAGCCAGAATTTAAAATAGCTCACACAAACTTTTTTTTTAAACTCAATCTAAATGAGAGTTAACGGTAGAAATAAAACAAATATAAAAACCTTTATAATAACAACCTTAGTTTCGAACCTGTTTATTAGATTTTTATTGACTAATTGAATGTCTAATTATATTTTATTTTAAAAATAGATAATCATGCATTTGGATCAAAGAAGAAGGTATATAAAAAGTTTGAACGAAATCACTCCAATAGAAGTCGGTCAAAATTGAGTTACATGATTTGCCACAAATCCACTAACAGACTTTATGAACTAAATAAAAGCTTGTAAAAATGAGACAGTTAGACCAGGGGTCGGCAACCTGCGGCTCGCGAGCCGCATGCGGCTCTTTTGACATCAAGATGCGGCTCTCCAGCTCCTTGAACAAATACTAATAATCTTAATAAAAAATTAAAAAAAACTGTAATAAAAATAATGTTAGTGGCTCTTTAAAACCAGGGAAATTTTGAAAAATGTAACTTTTGGCTTTTCCGCTTCAAAAGATTGCCGACCCCTGGTTTAGACCGAAATCAGAATTATTTTTATATAATTATTTTGTCAGTGAGGTTTTGATTTTTTTTAAATTAATGATGTGAGCCTACATAAATCTTTACATCTAGGAAAAATTGGTGCTTTGAAAGATGGTACTGCGCTAGAGACTAAGTGAGTAGTTTTATACAGATAGCCTCTAGCTACCGAGATATGCTCCATGTATGGCTGCTGTCGGGGTTTTAGATATTATACACAAACTGTACACAAAATGTACACAAGCTGTACACAAGCTGTACATAAACTGTACACAAGCTGTACACAAGCTGTACACAAGCTGTACACAAACTGTACACAAGCTGTACACAAGCTGTACAAAAACTGTACACAAACTGTACACAAGCTATACACAAGCTGTACAAAAACTGTACACAAAATGTACACAAGCTGTACACAAGCTGTACATAAACTGTACACAAGCTGTACACAAGCTGTACACAAACTGTACACAAACTGTACACAAGCTGTACACAAGCTGTACAAAAACTGTACACAAACTGTACACAAACTGTACACAAGCTATACACAAGCTGTACAAAAACTGTACACAAACTGTACACAAACTGTACACAAACTGTACTCAAACTGTACATAAACTGTACACAAGCTGTACACAAACTGTACACAAACTGTACACAAACTGTACACAAAGTATTGATTTAACAGCAAATCTTTTTCAGCTATAAAGTATAACTTCATTCTGAATTGCAAAGCAATTACACTCTACTATATCACTATCATACATACAACCACTCTGTCAAGAAAATGCAATCATACACACACATCATATAATCACACTTTGCATACGTCTTCCCACTCAGACTAATACAATAATATTCTTTTTAATTACAATTTCTAACAAGCATTTCTTTCAATGTCCCTGTTATAAATCGCTTTTATGCAACTACATCGCCTTAGAGCCGTAACACACACACGATCCCTGTATACAAGCAAACATAAGGGTTAATTAAAACACATGTGTTATATTTCTATTGTATGCTAACCCAACGATCAACAGAATCCCTCCAGCGGCATTGTCTATTTCAGTGGCGTAGCCAGAAGTTGGTCATAGGAGGGGTTCAAATATTTTACCACACACACACACACACACACACACACACACACACACATATATATATATATATATATATATATATATATATATATATATATATAGGGGTTTGAGTAAATGGGAGGGGTTATAACCCCCCAACCCCCCTAACCCCCTTTGCCTACGCCACTGGTTATTTCATTGACCAGCTGTCTCATTTTTATCATTTCCTTAAAAACCAATTTAACCTAAGTTGAAATCTTCGCTGTGTCTTGTTCATCATCAAATATTCACGACATCTTAATTTGCCGGCCAATGTAAACTACTAAATATACATTTCAGGTCTTGCCTAGCTAAATATGCGCTTTGCTTGCCAGTTTATTCCAAATGTTGCGACTCAACTTTAAGCACTGCTCAAGAGCAATGGTAAAATCCTCGTTCATACATCTTGGTCAGGTTTTTTTTTTTTTTTTTTAAAAGCGTGTAATACCCTTTACATAGCTCTTATATAGGGGCGGAACCAGAGGCGTAGCGACCCTTCCCGGAGCCCGGGGACAAACTTTCGATTTGCACCCCCTCTCAAGATTTCTATTTGCACCCCCCCCCCCCCCCCCCTCAAATTTTCGATTTGCACCCCCCTCAAGCTTTCAATTTATTTTTCCAACCCATTTTGGCGCCCCTTTACGTCGGCGCCCGGGTACATATGTCACCCCCGCCCCCCCTTTTCCTTCTGGGCGGAACTACAGTGCCGCCAGACCCCGCAATGCGGGGGAGCCCACGCCATTTATGGGCCCATAGCCGACCATAATGAAATACTGTAGTTAAAAAAATAATTTTCTTGCATTTTTGACTTGACGGTAAAGGCTTTTGTAAATAACAAACAGATCTACTACAGTAGTGATGTTATACAGTAGCTAACACACGCTGTTGTGTGAAAAAAATATATGCCTGAGTTGTAGTGTGTAAGATAGACAAACGCTCAAAAGACTTCCATGACTTATTTCCCTTTTTAACATTGTTAAATAGGGGTGCTCATAAGCTCCTTTTAATATATTTGTACTAAACAAATTAAAAAGCAATTACTTTTCTTAATTATTTTTTTAAAATATATATTAAAGAATGACATAACAAAAGAAGGTAATATATTTAAAAGAAATAATATTCATAAAAAAAACATAAAAGTAAACATAACACGACAAACCATTACACATACATAGCTTTCACGTTTTATATTCTTTTGACCAGCTGATGTAACTAGAGTCTTTGCGCTTTTTTCCGTTTGCGCTTTTTTCCGTTTGCGCTTTTTTCCGTGTGCGCTTTTTTCTGTTTGCGCTTTTTTCCGTTTGCGCTTTTTTCTCTTTGCGCTTTTTTCCGTTTGCGCTTTTTTCTGTTTGCGCTTTTTTCTGTGTGCGCTTTTTTCTCTTTGCGCTTTTTTAAATAGGGGTGCTCATAAGCTCCTTTTAATATATTTGTACTAAACAAATTAAAAAGCAATTACTTTTCTTAATTATTTTTTAAAAATATATATTAAAGAATGACATAACAAAAGAAGGTAATATATTTAAAAGAAATAATATTCATAAAAAAAACATAAAAGTAAACATAACACGATACTCGCTGCTTTATCTCTTTTATTTATTCGTGCACCAACCACACCCTCCACACCCTTCACCAGCGACAGTAGCGGAAAATATTGTAAATATTGTAGACACAAACGTCGGTAATAGCCTTTTTTTTTACTTGACATATCTTATCTCATGACGTATCACTTGACTTATCATCTATCACTTGGATTATCATCTAAATATCACTTGACTTATCATCTAAATATCACTTGACTTATCATCTGACGTATCACTTGACTTATCATCTCACTGCTCACTTGATTTACATGACGTATCGCATGACTTATTGCATGACTCATCACATACTTATCACAAGACTTTTCAATTGACTTATCACATAACTTATTCTTATTACATGACTTATCATCTGACTTATAACATGACTTGTCATCTGACTTATCACATGACTTATAATCTGACGTATTACATGACTTATCACATGACTCATACCATGACTTATAATCTGACTTATCACATGACTTATAATCTGACTTATCACATGACTTTTCACAGGACTAATACCATGACATAATCTGACTTATCACATGACTTTTCACAGGACTAATACCATGACTTATAATCTGACTTATCACTTGACTTATCACATGACTTACCACGTGAGATATGAACATTTATGTGAAATGTAAACTTGTTTCCATCCTCAACTCTTATCAATTCTTCCTTTTACTTTACTTTATGGTGTCAACATTACACCCTGCTCTACCCCATATCAATTCTTCCTTTTACTTTACTTTATGGTGTCAACATTACACCCTGCTCTACCCCATATCAATTCTTCCTTTTACTTTACTTTATGGCGTCAACATTACACCCTGCCCTACCCCTTATCAATTCTTCCTTTTACTTTATGGCGTCAACATTACACTCTGCCCTACCCTATATCAATTCTTCCTTTTACTTTTCTTTATGGTGTCAACTTTACACCCTGCCACCCCATATCAATTCTTCCTTTTACTTTATGGCGTCAACATTACACCCTGCCACCCCATATCAATTCTTCCTTTTACTTTTCTTTATGGTGTCAACTTTACACACTGCCACCCCATATCAATTCTTCCTTTTACTTTATGGCGTCAACATTACACCCTGCCACCCCATATCAATTCTTCCTTTTACTTTATGGTGTCAACATTACACCCTGCCCTATCCCATATCAATTCTTCCTTTTACTTTTCTTTATGGTGTCAACATTACACCCTGCCCTACCCCATATCAATTCTTCCTTTTACCTATCTTTATGGTGTCAACATTACTCCCTGCCCTAACCCATATCAATTCTTCCTTTTACCTTTCTTTATGGTGTCAACATTACTCCCTGCCCTAACCCATATCAATTCTTCCTTTTACCTTTCTTTATGGTGTCAACATTACTCCCTGCCCTAACCCATATCAATTCTTCCTTTTACTTTTCTTTATGGTGTCAACATTACTCCCTGCCCTAACCCATATCAATTCTTCCTTTTACCTTTCTTTATGGTGTCAACATTACTCCCTGCCCTAACCCATATCAATTCTTCCTTTTACCTTTCTTTATGGTGTCAACATTACTCCCTGCCCTAACCCATATCAATTCTTCCTTTTACCTTTCTTTATGGTGTCAACATTACACCATGCTCTACCCCTCAGATATTGTTCCTCCCCAACCCCCTCTCCAGAATGCCTTCTTTATACAATAAAACACAATATAAAAACATGAATACATACATTTGCAAAGAATACAATATATTTTAAAACAGCAGAAGTGAAATACAATGTTTTAAGTCTGATATCAAAAGAAAAATAGACCACAAACAAAAATATATCTTTGAATACTGCTTACTTTTCAAGTATTCCATGGAGTTACTATTTATAAATATTTTATTAACTGTTTTTTTTTGTTACTTGTCACTCCACAACTATTGTTTCATTACACCCAAGTGTTTGTTTACTTGTAGTCTAATGTAGTCTTGGTTAAGTTCTGTCTCAAACGCAAGTTTTAAGTGCAAGGAAATTGTAAGGGAAGTAACTGCAAATACAGGGGAAGTAATTTATGCAGCATTTGACTGATATGTTTGTTAATATTTTTATTTCATAAAATAATATACTAATATCATTTTAATAACAAATTAAAATGTTTTACACACTGATCTCAAACTATATTTTAATTAGTAAATAATTATTGTATTTTAAATATTTTTTAAAAGTAAATATGTATCTTATCATTGGTTCAATACAACCAACACTTAAAAAAGGTTTATGGATATAGTTCATCCTTACACTTCTAATATGTTATGTTCACTGTTTTTTGTGTGCGTGTATTAGATAGTAAAAAAAAAATCTTTAAAAAAAATAGAATTTGAATTAACGTATAAAAAATATATTTTCCACAAACAACTATAATAGGATTTATGGT